GGCGGCTCACCCGACATCGCTTGGCCACTGTAAACTTCCGCCGCCTCGGACCCCGCTTGCTTCGCTCGCGAAGCCCGAGGCAGCGGAAGTTTACAGTGGCCAAGAGGTGCCAGACCTCGCCGCCTTGTGCTGCGCACTGCCAAGGAGCAGTGCGTGTTTTTTCTGCTTTATATGAGTTTTCTTCTTTCCCGCTAGATGGCGGCGCGCAGTTGTTTGTAGTTGTTGCAGTTGCTTTGTAAACATAAAATTTGGGCTAGGTTTGATCTAGTTCTAAAACGGCTGGGTTTTTTTTCATTCTGATTGGATGAAGAACTCCCCACAACTGTCAACTGTTATTGTACTGAGTTTGGCAACAATCAGTTGAGAAACAAAAAAGCCTATCGCCGTTCAAGTCACCCTTTCAGTTTTAACGTAAAAGGAGCCTAGCTCCCAAACGGCTGGAAATTTTTGAATTTTGAAAGCATTTGGACAATCTACAGTTCCTTAGCTTTCTTCATGCCAAGTTTGGTGGCAATAGGACAAATTTGACTTTGACAAATCGTGCACACAAGAAAAAACCTTGCAGCACTTTCGACCTAACCCTAGGCTTTTACTCGCTCCAGCCAATAAATATTATCTTTAAGTGGAGAAGTTCAATTCAAAGTTTAAGTGTTTTTGTGTGATCAGCTTTTGCTGTTCTCATCAACTTGCTTTTGAAAGTTTTCAAAAAATAGTATACAGGCAAAACTCACACTGTTGATAAAAACTGTCCTGCGGTGTTTTTCAATAGATGCGAACGGGCCGCAAAAACGCTTATTGTTGTGCATGGTAGCGTTGTCGGCGTCAACAGTTCAACAGTGGCGTTTCAACAGTGTGAATTTTGCCTGTAACAGTCAATTGAAATGAAATTAACCAGTTACCAACGGCGTCCTAATAATCGCCAGTTTTTGCTCAGCACGTACTCGTTTGCGTTCAATAATTGTAGGCGGTGTAGCGGTCATGGCCAAACACATAAGATGATTTAGCTTTCTAACCGGTATCTCACACTATTCACGTGAACACACATTGGCACTTTTCTACTGAAATTGAAAAACATCAACATGCACATTCCTTCAGTGTGAGAAAATTGTCAATTCAATGATCATCAAAAATCTAAAAAACCACATGTTTTGTTTTGCAAATTACTACTTATGACTAACTAATTAAAAACTCTCACATTTGTACCAATAATACTTAAAAAGTCAATTATCAAAATGTAAATCAACACAAAGATACTTACCCTTATCATCAGTTATGTGCAACGTTTGCAAGTATACACAGCAAAAAAACTACTGTTTTTATCAGCCAATTGTGCGAAACGTCCTAAAAGTAGATTTCAAATTTGTGCATTGCGCAAAATGAACACATCAAAGATAACGGTTATCGGAGGTTTTTTTGTCAAAAATTGTTAAATTAAAGTTTTAAAAAGTTGATTGTTTTGTGTAAAAACAAATGTTTTTAGTTTACTGAAAAAACTCTTATTTTAAAATTGTTCATTTGATTGTTTTTGTCACTACTATTATTGGAACAAAATGCCAAAAAAACTGACTATCCTCGTGTCGGCATGCAACGAAGCTGGCCATCTGAATGCAGTTACCGGAGAAACGCTCGAACTAAAAAACGTGGGCATCGAGTGGTATTTGTTTTGCCCGAAACATGGCGGGGAAAATTAGCAAAACACGGATTTGAAGAGCACATTTATCAAACGGAAAAGCCGACCAGTGCAAATGAGCATCCGGGCAAACACAATGCTGCTGTGTTGTTTGAGTTTAAAATGCTGGGCAATTACACGCCACTGGAAAAGATGCAAGAGCTGGTGAAGATCTTTGATTCAGAGCATCATTTGTCGGAAATAAAGGTCAATGATAAAGCGGTAAAGGCGGCACTGGAAAAGTACAAGCCAGATGTGATTATCGTTGATGCGCATTCTCTTTCGCCTGCCATTTACGCGTCGGGAATTCCGTGGATCAAAAGCTGCTCAATGAATCCACTTTTTGAAATGTGGGACTCTGATTTGCCACCAGGCGGCTCCGGTAGTGCTGAAAAAATTTGCATTTATCATGACAATATGTTACAATTTCGTTATTATACTTTCAGGTTTTTCTCAAAATAGCGATCGATCTAAATGGGCCGAATTTGTTTTTCTACGTAAAAAGCTTTTTGCTTCACCTGCTTTCAGTAATCTTCTAAGAGAAATGGGCTATGAACCGTATGCAAATGATATCAAGTTTCCTCCTACTGAAATTCTCACCGTATATGCTTGTCCTGAAGAGTTGAACTACCCACAAATTCGCCAAAATGGCTGGCACAACTTGGAGGCATTTAATAAAGTAGACCTAAGTGAAACTGTTGCAAAGCTTGATGATATTTTGCCAAAAAAGTTTATAGAAAATAATCTAAATGGAACATTCTCTGGCAAGTACATTTACTTTTCTCTTGGATCAAAGGTGAGAAGCTTTTTTCTGAAATACAAACAATTTAACCTTTATTTTGTTTGAACCTTTAAGGCTAGTGTTGATGTTAACTTGATGCGCCGCATGACTACTGTTCTTTCTGCAACGCCTCACAAGTACATTGTTTCAAAGGGGCCAAACCATGAAGCCTTTGAGCTTCCTAACAACATGTGGGGCGAGCAGTACTTGCCACAGACAAAGATTATTCCAACCGTTGACTTGGTCATCACTCATGGTGAGTGAGAATGAATCACTAGAGAAACGTGTTTCAAGTTACTACTTCTATTGATTTTCATTTACAGGGGGAAATAACACCGTCACCGAGACGTTTGCCACTGGAACTCCCATGGTGGTGATGCCCATGTTCGCCGACCAATTTGACAATGCCCAACGTCTGGTTGAAACTGGCCTAGGTGTCTGTGTGATGCCATATGACTTTGAAGATTCTGAACTGATTGCAGCTGTTGAGAAGGCTCTTGGAGATGAGGAGATGAAACGGCGTTTACAGGTGGCAGCAAGGCGAATTCAGTCGGAAAATCGACATGAACAGCTGGCAGAAAAAATTGAGCAGTTGCTGGTCAAGTGAAAAAGTGAAAACTTTTTTTTGCAAACAAAGCAGGAAAATAAATGAAAAATAAACAGAATTTTGTGTTAACAAGAGTGTCTATTAGAATAATGTTGCGCAACAATTGGATCGTTTGCCTAAAAAGTAATTGCAATTTAAACAACTTTTGTATTGTAACTTTAAAACATGATATTTTATTCAACAACTTAAAAGTTAAAATAATACTTTTTTTAAAAAAATATAAATAAACGTTTTTGACTGAATCTAATTCAAACTTATATCTAATGGTTGATGAACAAATGGCGGATCACGATGGTAAGGTCGACCGTAAAGAGCAACAGTTCCAAGAGCAAAAGAATTGAGTCCATTGAAAGTTCCAACTTCAAGGGCATGCAACTGTTTACTTGAATCATCAGTCATATTTGGTTTTGTAAACTTTTCTTTTCTATTTCTTCTTCTTTTGCCGTGCAATATTTCAGTTTGTTCAATTTCAATTTTTGCTAAAAAATCGAAAACGTTGGGCAGCAAATTTATTTTTCTGTAATTCCAAGAATTTCCTTTTTTCACTAGCTGATGTTGTGAACCGATGACACTAGCATAAACAGTAGTGTTTAAACCAAACTGCCCATAAAGATTTAAATAATGAAATTTAGTTTGCAAAGGAAAGTTTGAACGCATCATTGAGCAGGGTTCAAATCTTCTTGGACAATGAACAACGGCGCAAAACTCCTCGGTAAACAAAAATGGTCCTGGCTTAGTGCGATTAGAAACGATCAGGTAGAATTCATCACTTAAATGCAGTGAGGAATAGTCAAACTTGTAGTCGACAAAACAACAAACGCCCCCGGCGCAGTTTTGTTGAAATTGCCTACTTGACCAGAGGGGAACCATTGAGACTTCCTTTTGATTAAGTTCAAGGTGGTACGCGTCTATTCTCGCGTCATGTTTAAAAATTGGCGCCTCTTGTTCAATTTTCACCTGTTTTGCATTGGAGGGACATTTGCCACTTGATGACGAGTTAATAGGCAGATTACTAACAAGAACTCTCGATTCGCCGTCAAGAAAATCGACAATTTCAAACTCCCCACTGGATCCAGCGTAAAGACCACTGCCTTTTTTGCCAAACTGAGGGTAATGAATATTGGCAGCCAACAGGTTTACCGAGTGAGCATTCGCCCAAGACCACTGAAACTGGTTGGCAGACAAAAAGGGAAACTGATCGTACCACGAAGTGGAAAACAGGACTGTGTCTACAAGACCTCGCCTGACCAGTTCGTGTCCGGGCGATTTGTACAGCAGATCAAAGCACGTCTGAAGGCCCAATCGTCCGATTGAGGTGGCCACTGAAACCAGCTCCATTGTGGGTGGGGTGTTTTTGAAGGACTCCGTCGGGAAAAGGTGCATTTTGTGGTACTTTGCCAGCAGTGTTCCAGACCTATCGAAAAGCACTGCAGTGTTGTAGGCGAACAGCCCGTCTCGAAACTTGGTACAGGCCATTTTTCCGGCACTCGGACACGGCTGAATGTCAATGACATTGGCCTCCAGGTACAGACGATTACTTCGGGCAATGCACGCCAGCCGGTGAACAATCGGGTGCGATCTAGCGTACTGAAACTGACACATTTGTGTGGGGTAGTTTGGAATGACCTCGCCAAACTGAAGTGTTTCGTTTCTCGATACTTCGGAAAAAATGATGCCATCCTCAGGAACTACGAGGATGTCGGCATCCTGTGTACATGTGCAAAAAAAGTAACTGATTAGTAATCGGAATTATTTTAAAATAAACACCGCATACATTTTCTTTTGCCTTTACTGCTGCTCGCTCATAAAGGTTCAGGTTGAGCTCAATGGTTTTGGGAATAGAATGTTGATCAACCTGGCGGACTTGGTCAAAAACTGCTGCACGAAAACAGCCGGGTNAAATAAACACCGCATACATTTTCTTTTGCCTTTACTGCTGCTCGCTCATAAAGGTTCAGGTTGAGCTCAATGGTTTTGGGAATAGAATGTTGATCAACCTGGCGGACTTGGTCAAAAACTGCTGCACGAAAACAGCCGGGTTTTGCCCTTTCGGCGTTTAAAGTTGACGCGCAGAAAAGTAGCAAAACTAGATACTTCAGGTTCATTGTAAAAATATTTTAATTTTGCATAACAAAATTAAATCTGAATCAATCGGTCNGGACTTGGTCAAAAACTGCTGCACGAAAACAGCCGGGTTTTGCCCTTTCGGCGTTTAAAGTTGACGCGCAGAAAAGTAGCAAAACTAAATACTTCAGGTTCATTGTAAAAATATTTTAATTTTGCATAACAAAATTAAATCTGAATCAATCGGTTGGTGTAATTGATCGGTTTTTTGGTTTTCTATTTAAAGGGCAACCTTTATCAGAGGGTTCCAGCTACTACTGCTTTATCTGGGTTTCACTCTCTCCATATTTGATAGGCGTGCATTGTTCCAGTCTGTATATTCGTTGTCGCCGCAGTGCATTGCAGCAGAAACAGCATTAGCCTGAACACTTGGCATGAGGTCGTTGAGACTCATTTGTCCACAAGACAGACAAACCCAATTTGTCATGCAACTTTGATAACGTTGCGCATCTTTTTTGGTAGGCACAACTTTTGTTCTCTCTCTCTTTCTCTCTTTCTCTTTCTCTTTCTCTCTTTCTCTCTTTCTCTCTTTCTCTTTCTCTTTCTCTCGTAACAGACAGTTGCAATTGACTTTTGTTGGNGATAACGTTGCGCATCTTTTTTGGTAGGCACAACTTTTGTTCTCTCTCTCTCTCTCTCTCTCTTTCTCTTTCTCTCTTTCTCTTTCTCCTTCTCTCGTAACAGACAGTTGCAATTGACTTTTGCTAACGGATCTGCTCAATGAGTTTCATCACATGTTTTTGAGTACAAACAGAGGCCAATTGCGGCAATGGAAAGTCAAGTATCCTAAAACTAGTGTCACATGTATCAGATACTCTCCAAAATATACCGTCACCTAAATAAACTTTTTTGCAAAGGTAAAATAAACATAACGGGTATAAATCATCAACTGATATTTATAAAAAAAACTTCTGATTGCAGTTTTTTAAATAAACAACAAAATAAAAAAATGTCACGTAGTCTGTAAATAGTGATTTCCTTGTTATCTGTTATTAAATCTTCTAATCAAACACTTTACAAGATTTTAATCAATTATACAAAAACTTTGCAAATATGCAAATATTGCAAACATTGTTGATAAATGAACTAAAAAGTAGTGTTTGACAATCAAAACTAAAAATGTACATATTAAACAACCTTGATAAATTAGTTGAAGTTCAAATCAGTGTTACTTTATTTGCTGCAAACAAAGTGTTCAAATTGCAAATACATTTTTAAATTGATAAAAATAAAAGATAAACTAGCAAAAATAAGTAACTGTGCAAAATGTTTCTAAAATTTTGATTAACATTTGCTAATACTTTGAGGATATTTGTAGCTGCCTACTAAGCTCTTTTAGCTGTAGACTAGTAATTTTTTAGTACATTTGCTAATAAAATACTGTTATCCACTTTATTGGACAACCATTTATCAACAGTTTAAAACAAAAGACAACATTTTTGGTCAAAATAAAACTTAACCAATTATATTTTTAAACTAAATAAATTATTTTTTAGTTTAATTTAGGCAAAAACACTAAAAAATTGCATTTTTGGTTTAATTATTCTAATTAAACTTTTCAATAATTCCGTAACCACTTTTAAATTAAAAAAATTTTCCAAATTAAACTTAATAGTATTACTAAAGTGTAATCCCAAGTTGCACTTAAATATAGATAAAACTCAGTGCATGTAAATGTTTTTTGATATTATTATAGTAGTATTTTATTAAACAATTTGTAATATTTGTATTATTCATTTTTAAAATAGAAATGGACTTATAGTCTTGTTGTAGGTGTGTAGTTGTGTAATCCTGTTTACAACAAAAATAAATAAACTGAGACAAAGCTAATTGTGTTCATAACTGATTTAGGTCACAGTTAATTTTTTTTGTTTATAATTTTAATATTGCGTGTCATATTAGTATTTAGTG